GGCCCAAATGAGGGCAAATAGACGGAACACGTCCAACGTTACATCCGACGACGACTCGGAGACGGAGGACGACGAAGGCGGCGCATCAGCGTGACCTTGGACTACGACGTCCTAAACTCATCATAAGGTCATAAGGTCATAAGGTCATAAGGTCAAAAATCGAAAACTTTGGCTTTTCCGTTGAAAAAAATGGAAATATGAAAAAATAGAAAGGCGCCCATAAAAACGATGCGGAAAATCAAAAATCAGGGCTAGAGAGCTGCTAAATAATTTTGTTTCAAATCGAATGAAATGTGTCTCAATATTGTAGCGTGTGATTTGCAAAAATTATAAGTTTTTTAGAGTACTCCGCTTTCATGCAGTTTTCTATTAATTTCACGTTGTCTTTTATTTATTTATTTTTAAAAAATTCATTCAAGCAAATTGTTTTTTATTTTAAATTTCACGTCTGTGTGTGAAATATCATAAAAATCAATTGATAAATGTAGTAGTTTTTCTGGGACCCGAATGATCCCCTTAATTGATGCGATTTGTTTCCTGTAGTGTAATTAATGGAGCATATTTCAATTGGGATTTACACAATATAGTGTGTACATTTTTCCCAATGTTCTATCAGGATAAAAAATTGCAGTGATTCATTGTCAATCAATTTATCTAACTGTTGATAAACCTTCACTGTATATGATTAGAATCTGATTAAAAAATCAAAATAAGAATTTTTGAATACCAGTGGTGAAAAAATAACGGTTCGATTGCCCTCAAGATCAATAAATACAAATAACGTTAAAAAATTACTTGTAACAAAGCTATTCAAATTAATGAAACAATTTACAAGGTTTAAAACCATGATTAAGAGCCTCATATTGGGACTGATTTAAACACGGGTAAACCAAAGATTTTTCGATAAATAAATACTTGAAAGTGAATATAATTAACGAAGAATAAATAGTAACGCAAAACAACAAACCTAACACCCTATTAACTTAACCTTAACAGTGCGTTTCGATCCACTTCCAATTTCAATCCACATTTCAAAAATCGAGGCCTTCCTCTACAGCAAGATATAATGATAAATAGAACACACTGCTGCTGGAGGTCACGGCTTAAGGTGATTGAAAACTGAAAATGGTGAACCAAAATCCTAAACCTAATACATTAAAACCTAAAAATTATATATACAACAATTGGATCTATTTCCTCTACAACATACCGAGATTATAGCTTCTATAGCCAATTTTCGTGTTTGATATCAGCCTACAGAATGAAGGTCTTGAAAACAGAATGAAGGTCTTGATTTTGATATGAAAACCAAAGATGAATTGTATGGCAATATTATAAAACACATGCTTATGCTCTGTTTCTGTCAGAGTCATTTTGACGGGAAAAATGAATATACATTATTAAAAATTTTTAAAATTACTCTGCATTTATATTTTATTAAGATGATGTATTGGGTAAACAGGCAAAACAATACTGACACTGAATGTTCAGTATGGTAGAACGAAAAGTAATAAAAAATATACGATTGCCCGTTGCTTGATTTGTTATAAAACCAAAACTCATTTCGTGTCACGTACTGAGACTGAGGAAGGATGTTTAATTTTTTTCAATTTCAGCTATCCTAAGAGCTCCAGGATCTGCTGGGTCTCTGGCAGAAGGAGCGTCTGCCATAGCCAGTACGATTAACAAAAAGAAAGCTGATGATATAAACTTATAGCAGAAACAAAACAATGTAATGAAGCAATGAGAGATAAAAAGATCTGCTTCAGCATTGATAACATCGAAAAAAATCATGTTATAATGTGCACTACTGATTCTGCAAGGAAAATGCACCCACTTAAACCACTTACAGGACGCGATTTCATATATTAATAAAGAAAATTGTATGTCCCAGAGTCAGAGATGTTTCCATGAGAGATGCACACCCTATATAGGATGCTTAATTTGAAAACAGAACGAAGAATTTTGAACCTGGATATTGATGAAGGAACTAGAACGCATTGAACAAAGAACTAGAACTAGAACAAAGTTGACCATGGGGTGCTCTTTAGAAAGCTGAGGCTGTTAGGGGTAGGAGGAAGCCTGTTAAGGTGGATCCACAACTTCCTTACAGATAGG